TTCATTTACTAACTTTTTGATCTCTTCAAGTTTCTTCGAAAAGTTAAGGATTTATGACAAAAAAAAAAAAATGTATTGTAATGTATTTTTAAAAAGATGAGCTGTTTAACGCGAGTGTATTTTGCCGAAAGATCTAGTGGCCTGTTCTTTACAATGGAATCCGTAGAAACAAATGTCAATGTCATTTATTGTTACTGTTTCTTACTATTTCACAAGTTTCATGATTTTGTGTAGAAAATATTAGTTAATAAACCGAAAATATGGTTAACTATTCGAATTTAGAAATGGCAGATATGCATTTTACATATGGGTATGCTAACGGTAATGCATTGGAAGCGCAAAGACTTTATGCTGAACAGTACCCAGAGCGTAGATTACCCCACCATACTACGTTCACAAATATTCACCAACGCTTGCGGGAACTTGGAAAATTTGAAAAGAGAAGTCATGACTGTGGCCGTAGCCGAGAAGTTAGAACTGAAGCTGTCGATGAAGCCGTACTTAATTTAATTGAGGAATCCCCAGAAACTAGTACCAGGAAAATAGCTCGTGTCCTAAATGTAAGCCATTCGGTAGTTTTTAGAATTTTAAAAGAACAACAGTTATATCCCTATCATCTCCAACGGGTGCAGTCGTTACTGATTCGAGATTTTTTACCACGTGTGGTTTTTTGTCAATGGCTTATTAATATGATCGGCCAAGCGCCGCAGTTCTTAAGAAATATTTTATTTACTGACGAGGCGAATTTCTCAAGAGACTGTATTAGAAATTTTCGTAACAATCATATTTGGGCTGAGGAAAATCCTCATGACTTTTTTGAAGGAAATCATCAGTATCAATTTTCATTAAATGTGTGGCTCGGAATTATCGACGATCATTTAATTGGTCCCTATTTTCTTCCACGACGATTAGATGGTGACTCATATTGTCATCTTCTCGAAGAATTACCTATTATTCTTGAAGAAGTTCCCATTCAAATTAGGCAACGTTTATGGTTTATGCACGACGGTGCACCAGCCCACTTTAGTATACGTGCAAGACGTCACTTGGATGAGGTGTATGCCAATCGATGGATAGGTCGAGGAGGATATGTAAATTGGCCAGCCCGCTCCCCTGACCTTAATCCTTTGGATTTTTGCATATGGGGATATCTGAAATCTTTGATCTACTCAAGGCCAGTTGAAGATATCAATGATTTGCGAAACCGCATTGTAGCAGGGTGTGAAACGATAAAAAATTCACCAGGAATATTTGAACGCATACGCAATTCTATGAGAACAAGAGTAGATGCTTGTATTGAAGCTGAAGGCAATCATTTTCAACATTTTTTGTAGATTGTATTGTCAATATCCGACAGATTTTTATTTTTTGTTACTGTTATAACATTATTCATCATTTGTTCACTTTTAGTCTAAGTTCCAAACTTCTTAGCCTAGTAGAATCATAGGTCAACTATTTGGTTGAGTGTTTTTTAATAAAATGTTATTTAATATGACAATAAATGACATTGACATTTGTTTCTACGGATTCCATTGTAAAGAACAGGCCACTAGATCTTTCGGCAAAATACACTCGCGTTAAACAGCTCATCTTTTTAAAAATACATTACAATACATTTATTTTTTTTTGTCATAAATCCTTAACTTTTCGAAGAAACTTGAAGAGATCAAAAAGTTAGTAAATGAATGGGGTTTTTTAGACATATTTTTTAAAAGGAAAAAATTTTATCGAAAAAAAAATTATAAGAAAAAATGTCATAGGGGTTGATTATTTCAACCCCTTACAAAAATAGTTCAGGGTTGAAAAAAATTCAAAAAGTGTAGTTTTATTGACAGATAATGTTCACCAAGTTTGGTTTCTTTAGCTTGATGTACATGGAAGAAAAAAAAGAAAAACAATTTTTTTTTGTAATTTTGGGAGGGGCGTAACTTTTCAGGGAAGGGTTTTTTCAAAAAATTTTATACCAAAGACCCCTATTAGTTTTCATCGGAGAATCGCCCCTTGAATTTTTTCGGTGTTATTTAGATACACCCTGTATACATAGTCAGGCACTTAATACAAATAAAAATGCCTATTTGTGTCTCTTATATGTATAAACTATAGTATTCTGAGAATATACACTCAAAAGAAACTCAGTCCCTTAGTCAATTCCCTCTACCCGCATGGCCTTGAATAACATGTGGCTACTCTATTGTAAAATCTTTTGTAAAAAATACACGAAACAAGAAACAAGTACAACTATCTTGTCTTCCTCCAACATCGGCTTCTGTTAATCAACACTTGCATCGAGTATACTATCAAGTTCAGATATGACTAGGCAATCAACTGAACCCAGAAGACTGAGATTGGAAATTAACAGATAATACTTTGGAACCGATTCAAACTTTACTCCCACCTGCTCCGGAAAAACTCCTAAACACTATTTTTGTAATTACAAAAATGGTTGTAGTGCTAAATGTGGCTGTAGAAGAGTAGGGTTACTGTGTTCTCCAGCGTGTACTAATTGCCAAAGCCAGTCTTGCTCAAATGTCCAATTGAATACAACAGACGAAGATTTATGTGATTTCGATGAAAAGACAGCTGATTCATCTTCATTTGAACAATTTATGAACATCCAGCAAGAAGAAGAGGAAGGAGAAGAAGAAGAAGAAATCGAAGAAGACATGACTGTTGAAGTCGACTTTGAATAAAGTCAATAACCAATATCAATAATAATTATGCAGTTAAAAGAGTATTGTCCCTGAAAATTCCATCATAACAGTTCGTGGAGTAGGCCTACCGGGGAACCCACGTTAAAAAAAACGCGCCAAAGTACACTACCTCACAGGTGGTGTGGAAATGTGTGCATATCATGTAGAACGTGACTGCTTCAACTATAGTCCAAGCATTCTGTCACGGATTAATGTTAAATTTGCAGAAATTATTACCTGGACAAAAAAAATATGACCGTATAGAAAATTAAATTTTAAATTGAGTTTCTTGTTCTTTAAACTCGATCCAATATGGCGAACATGGTTAAAAAAAATCGCAAAGTTGAAAAAAACGGTTTTTCTAAAATAACTAAAAAAATATAGCACGGATTGAAAAATTTTAAATGAGAAAGTTGTAGGTTTTAAAAAGATCTATCGACTGATTTTTTGAAAGTATCGATTGCTTTGTTACTTTTCGAGATATATCGAAAAAACCGTTAAAAATCTTCTCTTTTCTCTTCTTCTATAACTCGTTTACATTTACGTGCCCATATTTGCTATTTACTGCAAGCATAGCCCGCGGCAAGCCAAAAAAGTACATTTTTGAAAAATTTAAAAATATTAATTATTTTTCGAGATATATCGATTTTTTGAAAAAAAGGCGCTCTCGAAAATTGGCTAGATCTTCTCAGCGGATAGCCCTACAGTAACGATTTTCGGTTTATTTTCTTCGTAAAGAGTTATATTATCATGCTGTTAAAAAATGTTGACGATTTTATTAATTTTAAGGATCAAAAAATGACTGAAAAAGTTGCACTTTTTTTGGGTATGTTTTTTTCAAATAACTATTTCAATTTTTATTATTTTTTTGTACTTAATCTGGGGTAGCTAAACACGAATATTATAGCATTTTCGCCTTAGAAGCAAAATAGACCCGTAAATGTTTAGTTTTCTTTCTTTAAAAGTCATTTTCATAAAATAAAAATTGAAATAGTAATTTGAAAAAAACATACCCAAAAAAGTGCAACTTATTCAAAGTCATTTTTTGATCCTTAAAATTAATAAAATCGTCAACATTTTTTAACAGCATGATAATATAACTCTTTACGAAGAAAATAAACCGAAAATCGTTACTGTAGGGCTATCCGCTGAGAAGATCTAGCCAATTTTCGAGAGCGCCTTTTTTTCAAAAAATCGATATATCTCGAAAAATAATTAATATTTTTAAATTTTTCAAAAATGTACTTTTTTGGCTTGCCGTGGGCTATGCTTGCAGTAAATAGCAAATATGGGCACGTAAATGTAAACGAGTTATAGAAGAAGAGAAAAGAGAAGATTTTTAACGGTTTTTTCGATATATCTCGAAAAGTAACAAAGCAATCGATACTTTCAAAAAATCAGTCGATAGATCTTTTTAAAACCTACAACTTTCTCATTTAAAATTTTTCAATCCGTGCTATATTTTTTTAGTTATTTTAGAAAAACCGTTTTTTTCAACTTTGCGATTTTTTTTAACCATGTTCGCCATATTGGATCGAGTTTAAAGAACAAGAAACTCAATTTAAAATTTAATTTTCTATACGGTCATATTTTTTTGTCCAGGTAATAATTTCTGTAAGCATTTCTCTATAATGCTTGGACTACTATTAGAATCACGATATCTCAGGAATGGTGATTCTTAGAAAAAAAAAATTTTTGTAGATAATTTAAAATTTATCATTTTTGTCGGGGCTACTTTTTTGATAAAACTTACCGTTTTCGAAAAAAATCCAAAAAACTTCAAATTTTGACATTTGACCCCGAATAACTTTTTTAGCAAACATGGGATCGATGGGGACTTTTGACACGTTATTTCTAATGGTGTACCAAAAGCCTCCACCAAAATTTAGCTCTGTCGGAATTTTCGTTATTTGAAATGTCTATTTTGACCGGACTATAAATGCAATCGTACAAGGTCAACTGTTTTTTTTTTCAAGTTAGATTTAGATTTCGAACATGACATGCAAAAAGATTCAATAAAATAATAATAATAAATAGTATACAGTATAGTCATGTGGTAATTGTAATGTGCTGTTCATTTCGCATAATGTTCCGATCATGTGTTTAAAGACCCTATTTCTGTTTTTACTTATCTTAAAAAAAGAGAGACTACAGAGGCTGCGTGGCTTGACTTCTTGAAATCCCTCTGTTTCTAGCTGAGATGTCAGCGCTCGTCATAAGCGTATAAGTGGCAAAAACGTGTTCTTTTCACAGTACCTCTGCTAACTTGTTTTATTAAACCGACTGTACTGACGCCATTTTTCTTTCCAGCAATTCGACCGCGTGACGGCGGACCCCACCTCCATCACCCTGGACGAGTCCAACAGCGGCTGGCAGAAGATCGACCTCACCGACACCGTCCGCACGTGGCTGACCGAGTCCAGCAAAGAGAAGCTGCGCCTCTTCGTGGACTGCAGCTGCTGCTCCAACTGGCACATCCACCTCTTCAACAACGAGAGGGACAAGCGGTCGAACCCCAACCGGCCCTTCCTCGTCATCCACACTGACCCCAACACCGCCAAGAGAGTGAGGAGGAGGGCGATAGACTGCTCCGTGGACTCGGGCAACCAGTGCTGCAAGCAGAGGTTCTACGTCAGCTTCAAGGCCTTGGGATGGGACGACTGGGTCATCGCTCCTCAAGGGTGAGTGACCTCTTCTTCAGCAGCGATACCGTCACCTAACCTCACTTTTCCGCCTCGCGCCCAAACAACATGGCGCCGCCCTAACCTCAATCTCTCGCTTGTTCCAGATACTACGCCAACTACTGCAGAGGCGACTGCGGCCACCACAGGACGCCAGACACTTACGTCACCTACCACACCCACGTCATCGAGGAGGTGAGGAAGACGCAACACCTGTCGGGCATGACGCCGTGCTGCGCCCCCCTCAAGTTCTCCAGCATGAGCCTCATCTACTACGGTCCCGATTCTACGATAATAAAGAGGGACTTGCCCAAGATGGTGGTTGACGAGTGCGGTTGCCCGTAAGATGGGACGCTAAAAAAACCAATCCTTCTAGTTAAGCTAAAACGAACTGATTAATGAATTTAAGATTGGGTGCGGCGGTGGTCGGGACGTGGTTTGGAGACCAGGGAACTGATTTTCCTCGGTCGTTAGGTTTTGGCGTTTAAATCGGTCGAAGATGTCCGCTGAGAGGGGTAGGGGTGCTCAGAAATTGTAAGCCAAGCGTCTAGGGAGTGGTGTTTCTTGTAAAAGTAATGGTGCAAGTTCCTGTAACGTTTGTTCGAAAGCCCGATGTCAACGGAGTTAACATAACCTCAAAATTATTATTCATTTTGCAAAGTTCAATCGATATTTCTTTCGAATCTGGTACACTTGCTAACTTTGTTGCTGCAGTAAATTTCTAATAGTATGATATTTTCATATGCACAGGGTGTTTTGGAAACAAATACCATAGAGAATTAAGCCGACTTTCTCTATAGGCCATGGGCCTATCGTTTTTTGTTTTTGAGATACAGTGCATATAAAACGGTTATCTAAAATACAATTTTAGTCATATATTTTCAAAAAAAAAATATATTGAATTGGATTTTGATACAGTTAACTTTTTAAGGGTGCTGTATCAGTATTATCAATTTTTGACTATTTGTTAAGGGTCACTAGCAACGACTATACACAGTGACATTTCATTGCAACTTTTTTATGTAACCTCAAAAAAGCCGTCATAAAATGTCACTGGTCAAAAACTAACCACACTGACGAATTTAACATCCTCAAAACATACCTGCACCAGGTTTCTGTGCATTATTCTGCATTTTCAAAAAGATGTGGCTAAAATTTGATTTTAAAAATTTTCTACGGCCTCCTGTACCTCAAAAACATAAGACGATATATCAGTGGTGTCTCTTCCAAGGCATCCTAGATAGCGATCAACGTGGAATTCAAGATTATTTCTTGCTAATGCTAAAGGATTCACTAAAATTAACTTGTAGCTATTTTTTCCTAGAATCAAGAAAAAAGATTTGCAGCTTATTGATATATGTAATTATTTATAATTTTCTTAATAGTCATCGCATACTCAAGACAACTTTTTAGAATACCGAAAGTATAGCGCATGTTTCGAATAGACACAAGTAAATCTCCATCCAGTAAACAGTCCGCAAAAAGTTTTATAAATTTTTAAATCTTGCAAAAAATCCCAACTTCGAAATTCTAAATTCTAAATTCTAAATTCTAAATTCTAAATTCTAAATTCTAAATTCTAAATTCTAAATTCTAAATTCTAAATTCTAAATTCTAAATTCTAAATACTAAATACTAAATTCTAAATTCTAAATTCTAAATTCTAAATTCTAAATTCTAAATTCTAAATTCTAAATTCTAAGTTCTAAATTCTAAAATTTCTAAATTCTAAAGTCTGAATTCTAAATTCTAAATTCTAAATTTTATTTCTAATATCTAAATTCCAAATTCCAACTTCTAAATTCTAAACTCTAAACTCTACTCTAAACTCTAAAATCTAAAGTCTAAACTTTAAACTATAAATTCTACATTCTACATTTCTACATTCTACATTCTAAATTCTGAATTCTGAATTCTAAGTTCTGAGTTCTGAGTTCTGATTTCTGAGTTCCGAATTCTGAATTCTGAATTCAAAATTCAAAATTTAAAATTCCAAATTTCAAATTCTAAATTGCCAAAGTTTGATATTTGTTCTGCAGAAATGTTAATTTCTTAATATAAATAAATGATTACATACAGATTAACCAGAAAATTGGACAAATATTGAGTTGAGAATTTTCGAAAGATTAAACAGCTCATTAAGGATCACTACAAAGTCTTGTACCATAATTTTCATGAGTAAAATCACGTCCTAATTGTGGCTGATTACAACAAAAAGAGTGCTTAGCTGCAATTCCCGAGATTTCTAAAGCAGATTTTTCAAATCTAGAAAGATCAAAGTCAGTTACAAATTTCTTGCATTTGAAAGAAGTCGCTTAGAGTTCATTTTTAAATTCACCTTGTACATTGACATGTTCTTATTAAAATCGGGACAAAATCTCAGACTGTCCAATGGAAAACATTGTTGAATCAGAATACAACACCTTACCATCTTCAATGCACCATAATCGAGGTGACAATCAAAATGGCAACGGCTACAAGGTACTTAAAAAAACGAGGAATTAAAAATACACTCTAATTTAAATTGCTTGGAGTTTACATTTGTCGACGACTAGTAAAATCATACAGGGTGTTTCGTATTAAATAGGATACAATACGAATATAAATAATGTTAAAATATAGCAAGTAGTTTTTACTCTTAATATTGTTGACTGTAATAGCTAGCTACAAGTGTTGTTTGTTGTGTTAATTTTTTTAATTTCATCCTAGTGACAACATCGCTTCACATGTAACCACTGTATATTATAATACGCCTGAGAGTTAACGAAATAATAATCAAAATACGTCAATTTCTTTGCTTCATTGAAGATAAAGTAATAACTATAGTTAATAGTGATTGTTCCTAAAGTATTAGACAATAATTTTTATATCATAGCGGTTCAACCGAATCTAACAGTGACCGAGGAAGACTCTTCGAGCTACTCGAAACCTTCTCCGACCACTCCTGACCACTCGGCCCTCCAAGCCAAGCACGAACTCATTTAAATGATAGTTAAGTAATATAGAACGAACTTTATATTGAATTTAAACAAATATGAGTGAGTTGTTTTCGTTACGCAGTTGTGTTACCAGGTCGCGCATTTCTTTAAGGTACGTATCGGACTGAGAACTTTCCACTAAGAGAATCGTTGTTAGGAAAACTAGTTAATTCGTAGAACATAACTCGCCACAGGACAGTGAGGAACTCTAGAGCGACTATTGTCGAGTTCAGGAAAGGTGGGACACCCTGTACAACTAAACAATTCGGTGACGTAAAGTCAGAAGTGGGATAAACCCCTTAACTAATAGGCGAGCGGTTCACCCCTAAAAAGATGCTTCTAAATGAAGGTAACCGACTAAATTTTAAAACAAAAACCTACAGCATGGAACTTTTTTTATTTTATAAAGTGTATTTTTCTGATAATTTAAATATTTTTTTTATATTTTTCCGCGTCGTCAGTCAATTGTTTATAAACAAAAAAGTTGTAAAAAAAATTACTCGCCGAATGGTTTTGAAAACTTTTTGTTCTTCGACAAGAATTCGAAAAATGCTTCATTTCCGAGATATTTACAATTTAATGTGAAAAAAGTGACGAAATCGACAAATTTTCGGAATTTTTTTCTCAAAAACTACTGAACAGAGTTTAATTCTAAAAAAAGCATAATAATCGGCAGATCTACTTTAAGATATATTTTTTTGGTATAGGTCAATTACTTTATTGAAGGTCTAAAGCGAGTAAAAAAAAGTCTTTTAAAGAAAATTATGACAACACCTCAAATTTAAATTTTCTTTTTACAATATCTTGTATTCAGCGAGTAATTTTTTTACAACTTTTTTGTTTATAATTGACTGACCGCGCTGAAAAATATAAAAAAATATGTAAATTATCAGAAAAATACACTTTATAAAATAAAAAAAGTTTCATGCTGTAGGTTTTTATTTTAAAAATTTAGTCGGTTCATGCCTTTTTTAAAGGGTGAACCGCTCGCCTATAACTCCAAGGGAAAACAGACACATGTAATAATATCAAATTAACTATTGTGTACAATTTGGAGGGAGACAGTAGAGATGTAGGTCATTCCCAGCGTTCTCTGTCTCGCCCACTTTATTTATTTACTCAAAATTGTGTCTGGGAACATAGGAGAAATGTGTCAGAGGAGAATATGTACACAAATACGAAACGACATCTTTATTGTACTAAAAGATTGTGCAACGTATTTTATTCGTCAAATCAAACTATTATCTTTTATGATATACAGGGTGTTCAACACTTTTCTTAAATGAAATTGCCGCTGTACATTTTGTATAGCGTTAAATCTTCAAGGAAATAAATATGCATGTAAAAAATTCAGCATCTCAGCTGTGGATTGTCTTTTTTCAATTAAATGATATCCTCGTTCAGGATTTCCACTGTTCTGCGGTTTAACCTAGAAAAATTAATTATTTTTGTATTTGGCGACGCATGAGATATGTTTCGTGTAGCAAAATGAAATGAATTATGCTTTACATTTTTATTTTATTAGGATTTAGGTCACTTTTTGTTCAAAAGCAATTTTCCCCGGCAGTTTCTTTTACTAAACCTCTAAATGTGAAACATACAACTTTTTTTAAGGAAAATGGCCTGATTCTAAAGTTACACAGATATTTTCGATGGAAAAAAGTCGGTAATAAAATAGAATTGAAAGCATAAGATCGTTAAAACTGTTATTTGCATGCGCTTTTACGGCAAAGCCAACCTGTGAAGTCATAAGGAGATGATCATACGTTTAACTTTTGCACCAGTGGTCAGTTAGTTGCAATAAAACGGATTTGGTCACAACGCACATCTTTATTTTTACTATAAGTGTCTACTTCAGTGAATCTAGACACCCCTGCTGGATTTAAAACCTGTCAAATCAAGAAATCCTAGCTGCCATGTTGCCAGATTGCGTCTTTTTTCTTTAGACTTAATTATTTTTCCATTATATCAACCAGCAACATAGTCAGAATTACGTTCATCAATATATTGATGGCATTTAGTTTTTAATAGAATTTTGCTGTAAATTTAGCCAAACAGCGAAATTTGTTTGTATTTATTAAGTTTCATTAAACGTCTCTATTTTCTCAAAATATCTAAAAACAAAAAATCCGACAAAAGAGGAAAAGCTGTCTAGGTAAAAAACATTTTGTTTCATTTCATTGAAATATCTTTAAAAATGCGGGAGCCTTAAAAGTTTTAATTAAATTAAATTAAAAAAATGTTCTTGTAAAAATGCAAATATATAATGAGGTAACTTGATCCACATCAGTTACTTTCGTCTAAGGATGTTACGGCGCATTCTGAATACCCTATACAGGGTGAGTCATTAATAATGGTACAAAGCTT